AGGTTTAGATTGGACGTGAGGAAAAATTTCTTTACTGAAAGAGTGGTTAAACATTGGACCAGGCTGCCCAGGGAAGTGGTGGAGTCCCCATCCCTGGAGGTATTTAAAAGACGAGTAGATGAGGCACTTAGGGACATGGTTTAGTGGACATGGTGGTGTTGGGGCGACGGGTGGACTCGATGATCTTAGAGGTCTTTTCCAACCTCAATGATTCTATGATTCTATGATCTATGAAAAAGAGCCAAAGCAGGGATTAATATTTAGAAAGGGGAGGAGTTAGAGTTGAAAGAGAAAAGAAGTGGTGGTTGCAGGAGTCCTCCAGTGGGTAGGTAATCCATACAAAGAAGGCACAAAACCTTGGCAGCTTTGATTTTTAGAGGAATCCAGCCAGCAGTTATCAAGCACCTAGCAGCTGAGGCGTATTCCTCAATCATAGCACACAGGAGCAGAAAGACCCTCACCCCAAGCATGCATGAAACAACATCCACACCCACGCCAGAAACTGACACCGGTGCAAAATTTAGCTGCCTATTTTCTCCAGGGATTTTCATCACTAGGAACCCAACACCAGTCCTCTGGAATCTGCCTTCCAGATGCTGGCTGTAAGCTTCAGAAAACCTATGCGTTTTTGGGATTTAGCCAGTTGACTGACCTCCTCTTTTGCAGCTACACTGGGCATCAGGATTAACAGAACAGCATTTTAAAGGAAGAGGGGTGCGTGAGCAGCCAGAGAATCTCATTCACATTTTCCTTGAAAAGACAGATCTACTTGTTGATTAAACAAAAGAAACCCCACACGCAGTGACTAATGGAAAGTTGGACAAAGCAGCCGTATGAGGCGATCACCGTGTACCTGTGAAACTCATGTACTTCTGGCTGTTGGAGATCTTCTTCGAGTTGTAAAACTCCAACACGTCCAGCACTGCCTGGGGGTTCTTCTTCTGCTCCGACTTGGTGATGTTGGAAGTCTGCAGCAAACGTGCCCATTGCTCCGGCATTCCCTGTGGGGAGATGTACCTCATTAGCTCAGTCAGCCTAACGTGGTTCACAGCATACACACCCGCTGCCACAGTTCTGCCACAGTTTCTGGGATTACTCAGTGCTGTGAGGGAAATAGGGAGAAAAGAGGAGAGGAAAAGAAATGAGGCGGTGGATCGATACCTTCCTAGCCACTGTCTGCGTTACAAGTCACACGTTCCTCACATGGACATGCAAATGCCACACTGCTCACGGGGCTCTGGGTGAGTCCTGGGTCCTTTGAAGACCAAAACTCAAAAGACAGAAAGGAGCAGACCCAAATGCTGCAGTTCAGTAAGAGCCTCAAGGAAAAAAAACACCTTTATGCACAGGTATACACATATTTACATATATCCAAGAAAGACTACAGAAGTAATACACACTGTATAGCATCTAGGACAATGAACATGCAACATTCACTTGGGTCTTCTTGTAGCACTAGAGTTCTTTGATAATAGTGGTTTGGTGCCTATCGTAACCAGAGCTGGGAAAGCAGAGATGTTAACCTCACATCTGAAGCTCAGAATTTCATTACAGGGACATCATTTCAGCCAGAAAATAAATACATCTGGAGTACAACCTGACCTGTGCTTTTCACCACCAGTGAGAATAACAGTTTGTATAGACGAAGCAGCAAGCAACTGGGATCCTTTATCAATAAAGTTATCCTCCCTGTTCAAAAGGATGGCTGGATACACCACTCAGGTAATGCCCCACTGGTACATCCAGGTTAACTTGGGCAAGTCTAGAGGCTGACATGCAAAACACAACTGTACACACAATTCAGGCTAGGAGAGCAAAGTCCCTGAAAAGGAAGCATAAAGACAGCTAAAACCAGCTTGCTCACAAACAACTTCTACTGTTATTAAATACTATCTCATAATCAAATTAAGAAAAATAATATGATGAAATATAACTCTGTCTTCCTAGTACTTTGCATGTCAATTAAAAAAACGCTTAAAAGCATCTGCCATTTAGCCTTAGGACAGCACATACACATTCTGTCATAAATAGTTATGCACAGTTGTGTCTCCCCTAAAGGGGAGCTCTCAGAGCCCTATTTGGCAGACACAGACTATGCTGTAGGCCTAATCTGGCTCTAGAAGAGGAGAGGAGGGGAAGGGAGGAGAGATATACCATGTTTTGCTGGCCACAGCAGCCAAAAAAACAGGAAAGGAAAAGTTTGGTGGCAGCCTGGGCTCCTGGGATGTGCCAAGTTTGACAAACAGTCTCTCAGCGGGAATTAGTGGGTAACCTCTGCAGATGTGTTTCAAAGGAGATCAAGCTAGATGATGGTAATAGCCTTTCCAGCATTACTATATAAAAGATTAATGGTCCTGGCTCCTCCTAGCAATAAGCCAAACCACATAGTTCTCTTTTCCTCCAGATTCACTTACTGTGAATTCTCCCGTGACTGCATCAAACCCCACATGAATCGTGTGTTCAAAGTCTGAAGGGAGGGAGATCTCCGGCCGCTCTTTCTCTTTCTTTTTATTGGCTGGAAGAGAAAACAACAACAACAAAAAAATCCATAAATCCATCAAGAATTAAAATCTCCCCAGTAGCTTCCAATTTACCTATCCAACCACACCCCCTTTTGCTAGGTATCAGATTTCGATCTGGGATAGACAAACAGCAAGTTTAAAAACTTTGTTACCTCACTTTAAGAGCAGCCACAGTGAGTGGACAACAACAACAACAACAAAAAATCAAAGTCCTGTAACACAGGACAAGCATACAACAAGGGAACTGATATTTTGGGTATGTCAAGTATCAACCGGTAGGGCTAGACTCAATAGCAGAAGAGCTATTTACCTAACATATTCACTCAAACTTATACAGGTCAGAGTCAAAAGCACTACAGTGGCAGTAAGTGGAAGCCATGCAGTTTTGAACACATTTTTTATTTGTTGTTTTAAGGAACTTTAAAAAAAAAAAAAAAGTGCTGTTAAATATACAGTCACCTCTCATATTTAGACAGAGACAAAATTAACTACAAATACAGCTTATAAATTGCTTCTTTCATCTTACATCTTCAAAACAGAGTTTATGAAGAAAACCAAATATAACACGTGTGCTTCTGCTACAAAATCTTATATGAGCAAAACCATTTATATTTTCCTGCTCACAAAATGAACTAAACGTGGTTTCAATAACAAGCTTTGAAGATACAGAGCAAGAGGGCAGAATCTGGCAGGTGAGGAGCAGAAGTCATGAAGAAACAGGAAAGGAAATAAATCAAAGCAGATGCACCCTGCAAATTTTCAAGTCAGGTCTTCAACCAACATTATCATTATGCCTTGGATTAAGTTCATCCATATTTATGACGTTTTAAAGACTCCATCTTCCTTTTAATATTTACTGTATTCAAGAAATTGAGATCAGTTTAAGGAGGAACCACATTCTACTCGGATTTGCTGCTGCTTGCGGTTATAAAATAAGCAGAGCCAGGAGAAGGTGACTAAACCACTTATGTTTCCCAGCTGCTACCTTTTGTATCTAAAGCCAAATAGAATTTGTTTCGTGGTTGACATTCCCCAGTGCATTTTTGGCAACATGAATGCCAAACCCCAGGTATTTCAGAAACCTGTGAGGCTAATGCTCAATATTAGAATTATTTAAGACACTGCTGGTGGTTAGTTGTGTAGAGATGGTCAGAGCTTGCCCCAAAGGACCGAAATCCTGTTTCCCTCAGTGCCAGCTCTGGCACTGTTCTCTGCGTCATTACAGAGTTACTGTTGCACAGAGTAATTTTGGAGAAAGAAAAGGATCAGATGCTCCATTTGGGACATGAAGATGGAACAGATTGTTTTCGATCCGTCTTTCAAACAAAGGGGACGGGGGAAGCTGAATCGCAGAAGAGCGACAGAGTTGCCAAGGGGAAGGAGGAGAGAAAGCTGCCATGCTGGAGGAGCCATCACAGAGGGGGGAGCTAGAAGGAGACAGAAGCAGCTGCTGGTTAGCAGATGGTGAGCATCTGCAGCACGGAGGCCTGCCAAAGAAGGAACAAGCAGCTGCATCCAGCAGGTATACAGAAAAAGCTGGATGCACTAGCAGTGGACGGAAAGCAAGAGGAAAAGAGATGCAGAGGGAGCCATCAGAGGCACCGTATTCTACAGGCCTGTCTACCGGATCAGTCCATTTCTTCAAGCCAAAGAGTAAGGTGTCAGCTCAGCCTAGAAGCCCGTCACTCAGGTGAGGAGGAAGAGGGCACCTGTACTAGCACCACTATGCAGGAGTGCTGCACGGATGATTCACGCACACACAGACGGTCCAGGACAACTGCCCCAGTAGAATTGAACGTATCCCTAAAAAAGCTAAAGGGTATTAAGTCGCTATCCAGAAGTCAATACACTTAAGTGTTTTTTTTATTTCTGCATTCAGACAGCCTGAGCTCCCTGCCACACACCCAAATCCCAATAAACTTCTCTGCAACCAAACGTTCCAGTATCCATTCTACCAGCAAACTTGAGATGACTGCTGACTGCTAACTTATCCAAAGCAGGAGACGGTGGCCTGAACGAGCCTCAGCTACACAGAACAGTAAAAACAGTTCTGGAGGGACTGATTAAACAACATAATCACCTCTGTCACATCAAAACTCCAGCGCCCTGTTCATGTTCAACACATAGGTCGAACATTCACCATCATGGGAATGCACATGAAGCTGGCACATGAATTCAGAGATTTTCCTCCAGCAGTTTCAGAGGACAATGAACTTCAGAAGCTTTTGATCCAAAATCTGACAGATCTAAAAGCCTAAACATATTAAACCATTAATAACATAATTGCTTTTTGCAGCAGGTATTTATGTCATAGCAGGAGATATAAGACAAAAAGAATTAAAGGGAGTTTCAGGATGGCTACACTGCAATATGAAAACAGGAAGAGATTTTTCTGCATTTATGGCTTATGTTGTTTTCATACCCCCAAAGCAGTTAATGTTTTCCCAATTACCTTAGTTTCCTGCAACCATTTCCTACAGCTTCTGAGCCCTTTACATTTTCCCTGACGCTCAACAATTCTTTGGGACAGCTACCACAAACTCACGCTAAAATCACTTTGCCTTAGCGATAACGTTATGGTGGATAAAACCAACAATTGCTCTGTACACTTTTTTTAAATCCCACACTCAGGATTTTATAGCACCCAGACTGAATTCACCATCATGGGAACGCACGTGAAGCTGGCATATGAATTCAGAGATTTTCCTCCAGCAGTCTCAGAGGACAATGAACTTCAGAAGCTTTTGATCCAAAATCTGACAGATCTAAAAGCCTAAACATATTAAACCATTAATAACATAATTGCTTTTTGCAGCAGGTATTTATGTCATAGCAGGAGATACAAGACAAAAAGAATTAAAGAGATGGGCACTCCCAATCTTGCTAAACACTTAATCCCCCCTCTACAGTGATTATATTATCCTTGCAATGAGTCAAAAGCCTTGAAGAATCTTAAAATAAAAAATAAATAAAAGATAAATCATATCTCTGATTAAGAAGGCCTACCTACCACCAAGTGCTTTATTCCCACAAACACCTTACTACCTTCTCATTCAAAACCTCACACGTTTGACGCCGTTACAAGAGCCACCCATAAAGTTTCCTTGTGATGCTCTGGCAACTTGAGCTACAACTAGGAAGCACGACGTCCCACAGTGAAGTAAGCCCGTGAGCCCATCCTGAAGCATACTGAGGTGAGACAGGTCTTCTCCACTGGTAAGGTTGAGTAAAGTGCTCCCCTTGTCACCACAGAAAGGGTTCCCGAGCACTGCAAACTGTCACCTTGTGGGTAAAACCTTGCCTCTACGCGAAGCTGCAGCTGAGCTCAGCAAAGCTTAGAGGAGCTAAATGTGCCACCTTCAAGCCAAATTCATACCCTCAACTAGGACACCGCTGAGCCCAAGAAACTTCAGATGTTCACAACTCCTGTTGAAAGCAACAAGTCACGCAAGCTCTGCATCCATTTGGATAGGACCCATCCAGTATTAAGCCAACAGGTTGTTTAAATACCAGTTTTGGGGTTTAGGCTGGGACAGAGGAAATCAGGACTATAAATTACACCCTAAATTTTGCAGGCTGAGCATGACACCTCCAGAACAGCCTGGCAAGGGGACATAGCTCTATGGAAGAGTGCAAACATGTATGAGGCCCAGGATTTAAGCCCCATGTGTCCTTTACACCATGGCTCTGTTCATGCACAGGGGTAGTGCAATGGAAAAGACACTTTCCAAAGCGCCTTCAGCTAGAACTGCCCTTCTTGACCCAGTGACCTGTAAAGGACGCCCTCAGGATGCCCCCCCTTTATTGGCCTCCCCTCTGATCTGGGCCCACAAGCTCTCAACAGGTCTGTCGCCTGCTCCACAGCAGGACTCTATGTGTTTGAACTGCACCTTTGCATAAAGCACAATCCCTTCACCCCATCTTTCCCACCCACGCTTCATAAAGTGCCTGCTCCAGTACTGTCCATATTTGCTAGCAAAATTCGCCCACGTCCATATTTGCTAGCAAAATTAATCGCCAAGCATTTCAGATCTTTGCAGGCTCTTTGCAACCCCAGCAGAGGTTAAGGACAAATCCCTGGCTTCCCTGGGTAAGGATCCAAAGGTCATGGATTTGCCCAAAATTACATTCCTCTAACTGAATGGAAACCAACTCCCCGTTTAGTCCAGCCAAACTAACAAACAACACCCAAATTATTTCAGGCACAAACCAAAGAGACTGTCTGAACACCTGGGAATTTCATTAACGTTAAGCAGCAGGAGGCACTGGGAATTTAATTGTCATCATGAGATTAGAAGAAGTTTTTATAAGATTAAAATCAATCAATCAATCTGAAGTGAAGGTGACAGTGTTAAAGGTACTTTTTGCTCAACAGGAATTAGAGGACAAGCAACCATTCTCGTTTGGGCAGGTGTATTGCAACAGAAGGCTCTGCTGGGCTTGGCTAAACAAAAATCTCTCATGTCTCGAAGCATCTGCCACGTTGGCCAATCTTCAGTAAATGCAGGCATCTTCAAATCAGCGGCAGCCCGTCTGCTGATTTTACCCAAACCGTTCACTTTTGCAGCTCTCCTTTAAAATCCAGTTCAAACTAGCATTTCAGGTTGTATTTCTTCTACTCTCTTACAAATTTCAGGTGGTTTCTTTGTTCTCTGCAACTGCTGAGCATAGAGATTTAAAAACCCCACTCCCTTAAGTAAGCTGACACAAAAATCCTGCAGCTCTTCAGGATTAATACTCATAATGGCAAGTTCTAACCAAGATCCAGCAAACTTTTAACATGGAGTTCATGGGTTTCTGGATTGCAGAATCAAAAATCCATGTTTGTAAAACAATCCAAAGTTGCTGAAGGTATCATATAATAATAATAATAATAATAATAATAATAATAATAATAATAATAATAATAATAATAATAATAATAATAATAATAATAATAATAAATGCTGCAATATTTTGTAGAAAGTAAACCTAGATCTTGCTTATTTAAATTAGCGGAAGTATCACTCCAATTAGACTTTTCACTAACAAATATTAAGGAGGCAGCCTCCCTCCTGAAGCCCAGGAAGTTGAAGATACCTAGGCTTGACTTTAGTTATCCAGTGTCCAGATACCATTGCAATGCAGACTCTATAAAAAGCTGATGTATTAGAAAGAAGAACTCCAAAAAATAGGTCAGATATAAAAAGAAACCAGCACATATTAGGGGACGGAGACTTTTTTTCTTACATCCCTTCAAAAGATTCATATGTGAGAGAGAGAGGTTTTTAAAATATCCTGATCTTAAAAATTAGAATTTCATGTATAGTTCACAGTTCTTATCTCCATTTCCATCTGTTACAGTCCCTATAACAGGAGAAAATTCCTTCAGTTCACAAGAAACGTGCAAGAATTTGCAGTAACGGATTATTCTTAACAGCAAGTAGACAATGCCTGACCCAAACACTAGAACAGAGTAAGTGACCATGCAGTAACATATGACAGGCCTGGCAGAAGATGGCCTGTTAGTCATGCTTAACTCAAATTATTTGCTGTTTAAAACAACAAACAAGCAAAAGACCTCCCCCCGCTCCCCACCAAAGGAATTGCCAATGCCAGCTTTAAATGGCCAGCTGGTAATTGGTACAAAAATTTATGTTTTTCAAGACCATTAAGGACAAGTCAGGCTGGGAAGTGGCAGAGCTAGTCCCAGTATTCAGGGACACTGTTCTCGTAATTTAAGGGGAAGGGAAAAAAAGGCGCAAAACAGAGTAAGTGGGATGGATTAAATGTGGCAGGATTAATCATTAGAAAAAACCAGATCTACAGCCAGCACCTTATGTACCCCAAAATGACCAAGACAGTTGTGCAGGAAACAAACACACAACATTTTCTAAAACCTAAACCATTACTAAGCATCAGGTGCTTAACTAAGGTCATTCAGAGCAACATTCAGACAGGAGGTTTATAAGAAGAGACAAAATACTGTACTTTTATCTCCTGGTAAAATAGATCGGTAAAATCGGTCCTTCCTTTTCTTTTCTTCTGGGTTGGGAGGCAAAGGTTTTGAGCCATGGTTTAAAGTCCCAGCATCTTTGCTTCCCGATCCAATCATAGTGCTGGTATTTCTCATCGGAGGAGCAGGCGGTTTGTCTTCTGTTTCAACTCCATTGTTAGACATCTTCAGTTGGGGAGGCCGTTACTAGGAATAGGAAAAAGAAATAAGAGGCCTTATTTATTTATTTATTGTAAACTAGAATCACACACTGTCAAATAAACCACACGCAGGTGTTTGCAGACTAGCCTGTAACCTCGTATCAACACAGACCAAGGGTCAGCGTGACAAATTCTACTCAAGCTCCATATTTTTTCTGTTAACAAGACTATGTTCAAGCGTTTTGAGTTATTGATCATCAAGAAAAGCCTATTGCAGGATACAGCCAATTCTCAAGCAAACCATGGAGCAGAATTGTAGGGTGGGAAGGAAGAGCAGTAAATACCAGGTAGCAAAGATAGCCAAGAGGAGCCAACAAGTTGCCGAGCTCATAAGACCTCTCAGATCCATGCTAGTTCCACTAAAAAAAACTACGTCAAAAGGTTTGTATCAGTCTCCAGCACACCATGATGCAGAAAGACTGAAGTTTGCACTCGAAGAGTTTTGATGCAGCCGCTCAGGTTCCTTTGCCAAAAAGCTGCTGGACTGGTTCAGAGGCAGAGATGGCGGGGAAGCTGCAGAGCTGTACCCACGTCATCTCAGATGCAGCGCTGCGGCCCTTGCTAGTCCCAGGCCAGCCCTGGCCTTTCCACAGTAGCAGCACGCTTCAGGCACAATTCAAACTGCCGGAAAGCTGACTGCATTTTGTTCTGTTGGAAGGGTCAAACAAAACTAGATCCCCAACACACACATAAATCCTTAAGTAAATAATCCCTGCTGTGCGGATTTAAAGACGGAAGCTTTGGAACGGGGTAATAGATTATTCTGCAACAACTAGCATGTTCCACCCAAATGAGATCAGCATTACTCCAGACACAGCCTGGCTGCAGCGAGATCCTTCTGGAAACTGGAATTCATCTGCATTATGTTCTCAAAAGAAAGTTGGGAGTTAACTGCAGAACAAAAACCAAAGCAGGAACAGTTTCTGTTTGGGTGGAAAAAAGCAATTCAACTGCTTTACGAATTTCACAAGCAGTAAGGGAAGATGTCTCGCTCAGGGAGAATTACTGGGTGGCAGAAAGTCAAAAACGGTTTGCTCTCTGCAAGTGAGAAGTCCAGTTTCAAGGCCGAGATCGCTGCTGGCTTCCAGGGAGCTGCTTTTCCATAGCCTGGACTCAGAGGAACCACACTGGGTCACACTCCAAACAGATCTCACAACCACACGATGGTTCTACGACCACACAACACCAACCTGCCAGTCTTCAAAGTCTTCTGTGGCCAAGCTACTGATGCTCAGTGTTAACTGGAAAGATTTGGACCCAGGGCACACGGCTCTCGCAGCTGCAGGGAGCTAAGAAAGGCAAATGCTGCTCGCAGAAGGCACTCAGCTGCAACACGTTAGACTTCACTGAAAGCAGCGGTTCCCTAGCTGTTGCCTACCAAGCTGTGGCTGGTCTGCAGCTCCACCTTTTCCTCCACTTACTTGGTTCCCGGTTTCTTCACACTTGCTCTTAAACAGGAGGGCTGGCAGTATTGTGCAGCCCAAGCCTTCACACACAGGGAGCTTTGTAAGAGGCTTGATCCCAGCCCCGCTTCCTCCCAACAGAACTGTGCAATGGAATTTTAAATGATGGACTAGCATTTGGGGTATTGATTTTAATGGTGGGACAGTTTTGGCATTTGGGAGGGGTGGGGGGAAATTAGCTGTGCATTTGTCTGGGCGTGTTCTGGCATGTGCCCTGTGCATCTCCCATCACTCATGCTTCAGCCTCATGCCATTCTCCAGTATAAAACAGAGCAGAACTAAGCGACAGCTGGAGTGCCAGCCATGAAGTGGTGCAAACAACTACCCTCCCTGTCTAAGCAGTAGAAAAAAGTCTAAACTAAAACCCAACTGGTAAACCTGGCAGCCACTGCTGCGCACATACCTTGTGCAACATGAAGATATTGAGGCCTCACTGATGGGCTTTGCACATCGCAGTGTCAGTGGTTGGTACTGAACTGGCACAACTAAAGCATTTGAAACGACATTAGCAGAAGTGCCACAGAAGACCTGCATTCTTTGCATTGATGCTTATTTAACTATGAGAAAGCAAATTGCTGGGAGGGTGCTAGGAATATGCTGCAACTAGGGAAGCAGAAGGAAAATGAACGTTAGCAGCTCTGTGCCTGCCAAACGGCCCTCCCCAGGAGCGGGCACCACATTTGCTGCTGTAACACCCTGGTTTACCCCCACAGGTGTTTGAATAAAGGTGTATCCAAAGATTCCCCTCCGGCCAGACTTCCTGGAGCTGCAGGCATGCCTGAGACGGCAGGGGAGACTGCTTTCTTGCTGGGTCCCTCTCCCACGGAGCAGAGAGGTGAGTAGGTGAGAATCGGTGCTTGCTACCTGCTGTCAGAGGCACGGGACTAAGCAGGGGACAGAGCAGAGTTTACTGTGTTGGGGAACAGATGCAACATCAGACCGAAGGGCGGTACAAGGAAGAGAATAGAGCAGCATGTGGCTCCAGGCTGGAGAAAAAGAAGTGAGAAGAGGAAGAACCCCCCCACAGATAACAGGCAGAGGCTGGCCTAGTGCTGGGGGAAGGAAACAGAACATAAAGGGGGGGGGGAAAGGACCATGAAAACATAAGAAAAACCTTTGGATGTCAAGCATCCTCACTCTCAGTTCCACCAGTGCAAAACCCCAGGGACATCTGCTCACAGTTTCTTCAATATAAGAGGGTTTTTCAAAATCCCTCAGTCGGAAAGAATAGAGCGCAAGTGAATTACTGTTTTACTGCAGGGCTAGAAACACTGGCAGTACAAGCTCTTGTTTATCTTACATTATTCTCTGAATGAGCAAGTAACTGCTGAGAAGTTACATAGTTTAACAAACAATATTATTTTACACCTATTTGGTAACTGCAACTTTCATGTGGGCAAAGCATACAGTACACCCTCTCCTTTCTTCTCCATTGCTGAAGCTCCCAGACCTTTCCCCTCATCAAAGTCTTATGTTTGGAGTTACAAGAGCTATTTAATCTGTTTGGAGACAGGGGATGAGATAAATCCTTCAACCCCCAAAATTAAGAGACTGGTTCTACAGAAGTTATCCCCTGCAATAGCAGCACTATCCTAGAGGGTTCCCAAAAGCCTTTTCCCACTATATATTTAAAAGGGAAAACAAAAAACCTGCTTACGCGAGTCCTCCCACTGTGATACAGAGATACAATCTATCCCCAAACTCAACATCATTATACTTTAAACTTCTGTTGGCTTCAAAGTATGTGGATGAAACCCCGTCCTGACAGAATTACACACACCTCTCCAGGGCTTTACAGCACAGCTGAGAGCCCGGAGCACAGAGCCATAGCGAGTGGTTACAGAGGCAGCCGTCTCCCTCACCATAGCCTAGCTGACTGTGCAAATTCTCTTCTTCCTAAAATAATCTCCTGCCAATCCACATGTAAGCAGGCTTTGAACAAACCCCCTTGCGTAGGCCCTGCTCAAATTCAGAGCACCAGGCAATTGCTTCACCAGGCAGCATAACATCAGCGCTACGACACTGAAGTGAGTCACTCTGCTCGGCGCGATCCATCCTAACAGGAATGCAAAATATCACCGAACTGAGTTACTTCCTTCTTCACACCAGTGACTGCGCTTTGAGAAATTTATCTTATGTTTCCATGGTATGGTTAAGTGAACAGTGGAAGCAATGAAACAGCACGTGAACTTTTCAACTGCAGTCAGATGAGGGAATACATTTTAGCTGCAGACAGAATTATTCTCAACTACTATATATATATATATATATTAAAATACCAGCACTCAAACCAAACCCCCCAGACACCACTAGGAAGGCATAGTCGTGATGTAGGACTATTGTTTCTGCAGCCGTTTGGGAGTACTGAAAGTTCGGGTTGTTTCAGCATACAGTACTTAGGAAAATAAACGTTTTATTACTCCAACCTATGACTGCCATAAGTCAAATTACAGAGGCCTTCAAATGCTCCCTGCCCCTCCCCATCAACTTTTGAAGCCCATTAGCTAAATTAGATTACCCCAGCCTCAACAGAGTCAAACAGCAGACCTGACAAACTCTCCTTTCACACCTACAAAACACTTCTGCAGACAGGAAGGAGTGACAGACAACCACGCACAAGGGGAGAAGAGACTCAGGAAACCACTTGGCTGTTCAAGATGGAGCAAGTGGAGGTACTGAACAGAAGATGGCACCCACAAGTGCCAAGAGCAGCGTCCAAGAGTTCAGAGTACACAGACGTGCAAAGATCCGTGCAGGTCTGCTGATCTGCGTTAAGTAGATATGGCTCAAAACCATGACGTTTATGCCTGTAGCTTTCCTGTAATACAGGCACAGGCTCCTGAGCTGTTCATCTAGCAGAGTGGGACCCCAACATATGTGGAGCCTTCTGGCACTACTGTGGGTAACACACACATACACGAAAAAAAAAAAAGAGAACAAAAGATCCTCTATGTATGTCATTCTTCCTTCTGGTAAACCACATCATTTCAAACCTGATGCTCCACGCTGAACTGTAAGTTTCTATCAAGCTGGTAGTGTTTTCTTTGCATTCTTTAGCAAGACAGGCAGATGACTGATTGCTAAAACAGAAAGCAATTAAAAAGTCAGAGGAGCTGAAACCTACGCTACAGTAGATGCCATAAAGATAACTATGTCCAATGCATACTAATTGCTGGAGTCAACATGAAAATTCATAAAAGAGCCATCTATAATTCATGCAGTCTGGCAAGACAGTAGCTGTAAGTTACTCACTACAACTTACAGATGAATAAACTATACTAAACAAGAGAGGGGGGAAGGAGGTGCTCAGCAACTGTTTTTCCCTTTCTGCCTACTACCAGAAGGAAATCTCACATTTTTCCAAGATGCTATTTCTTCTGTTGTTGCCAGGGTGAGGAAAGGGTATCTTCCCCACAAAAAAGGCAGAAGGAGTCTTGACCTTTAATTGAGTTGATCCTGATCAGAACAAGTGTTTTACCTCTGCACCAGTATCCCTGCACTCTTCCACGCCATGGCTGGAGAT